AGCAAAGCAGCCTTAGACAAGTCACATAAACTATCTGCACCTAATTTTCCTCTAGCAAAATGGAGATAATGATAATGTTTTATGTTGATAGTAGAATGTAAGTTACTTTTATTGTTACAATAATGCAATAAATAGAGGTTAAAACAACTCACATCATGCAGGTATAATTTATTATCAGTGTTATTCACCCCTCAGTATTCTCTACTATTGTAAGATCTTATTCTGAGAATCACAAGACGATCAAAATTGTGTTTCCATGAACAACAGCGCTGTGTCTGAAACCAGAGGTAGAAAATGGGAAGCTGTCTGAGAATAAAGATCTGTTTATTGAGTCTGAAAATGTCACCATCCAGTGTGACTCTGGCTACGGTGTGGTCAACTCTCAGAACATCACCTGCTCTGAAAACAGGACCTGGTACCCAGAGGTGCCCAAGTGTGAGTGGGTAAGTGGCACACACATCAGGGAGCTTTATCACACTCTCCAGAGCATTGACCCAACCAACACTGATGAGCTCTGACTTTCGTCAGGAATCGCTTCTGAGTTGTTTAAATCACTTTTGGAATCAGCAATTTCACCCCAAAGCCCTTGGTGAGCTCATTAAGGCAAGTCCTAACTCTCTCAAGTTCTAATTCTCTCATTTAATAGCAAGAAAACCTAGGCCCCTAGATAGGAGGCCAGGGTTCCAAAGACCCAGGTAACCTGGGACCAGCCCTGTATTTTCTACCATAAGTGCTATGCTTTTGCATCGCCATCAACACCTTCCCTTCGGTGGTCCCTGAAGAGGTGCCCTGAGTGTCTTCGGCAGCACTGTTCCTCCCCTGCCACATGGTCTGGAATCATTCTCTGATGTTTCTCTGAATTACGCCCTCATATCTTGGATTTCTTCCATCCATCCTGCGGAGGGTCCTGATACTCCACTCTAATTGTCATCAGTGAGGCATCCTGAAGGAATCTTCTACTTCCAACAGTTTGGAGAGAAATTCTCTCAAAATCTATCCTTTTTCTCTCTTTTAGGAAGTCCATAATGGCTGTGGGCAAGTGGTAGAAGGCAGCAAACTCATGCAGTGTCTCCCAAGCCCCACGGACGTGAAAATGGCCCTGGAGGTGTACAAACTGTCTCTGGAGATTAAACGACTCAAGCAAGAGTAAGACTTGAAGAGGAACACCCGTTAGAAATCAATACAACATAAACCGATGAACAAAAACAGATCTAGAGACAGGAAGCATCGATCAGACTCTCAAACCTCAGAGGAAAGGCAGGGGAGGGGAGGGGTAAGGGGGAGAGATCAACCAAAGGACTTGTATGCATGCATATAAGCCTAAGAGATGGACGCAGACAACAGGGGATGAGGGCGGGGGCAGGACTGAGGGGATGAGGGGACAATGGGGGTATAAAGACGCATTTGTAATACCTTAATCAATAAAAATAAAAAAGAAAAAGAAATCAGTACATCGCTTTCCCCTCACTCATCACCACACTGTAAAGCATTAAGTACATTTCTTATTAGCAAGTCTACTGTACCTTAAGTATTATTTACTGGGGGGGGGAAACAAACATCTGTTTTAGAAGAATCTTAGTGACACTGATAATGTGGAACTATTGATCATTTGTATCTTAGCTCATATTAAGCTCTGTTTTCCTGGATTTGGTGGAACGGCAGAAATAAATAATCACTTGTCAAAAATTCAGTGTCTTTGTTTCCACTTTAATTCCTGTGTAATGCAAAACTAGGGTCCTCTATGAATCATTCTCTGTTGTTTCTCTGATTTATGCCCTTTTCTCTCTTACCATATTTCAGGGTACATGTGGTCCTCAAAAATACATGTTTGTGCCTTGTCTGAGGTGTCTTTACCCTGCATCTTCACTTCCTACTCATCCCTCAATGACCAGGTCAAATATCACATCTTCCTCCACGTCTTCTCCTTTCTCTCCCTATTTGATCACCAGTATTTCTCTGGAACAACTTCTCACTTCCTCTTTATATATTTTTTTGACCTTGAAAATGTTTATTGAAGCTTCTTTTTTTTTTTTAAGTTTTATTGCTTAAAGTATTACAAAGGGTATTACATATGTCTCCTTTTTTCCCCCGTCCTTGACAATCCCTCTTTATATTTTTAGCTTCACTTGGTTTTGCCCAACTTTCTTCCATTCAAGAATAACTAGCTTGAAAGCCTTTGAAGGCCTGATCGATGTGCCACCCGAACATTCCCGCTGGGCATGCCCAAGTCTTCCAGTTGCATCTAACCACTTCGGAAATATGTCTATTAAAATGGCTTTCGTGTCTCTCTTACGTCAGATTCCCCAGAAGCAGACACTGAGAAGAGGATTCGTGTACAAGCAATTTGTTAAGAAATGGGAAAGGAGGTAGGGAGAGCGGGGAAGGCAGGGAAGGAGCATAGCAAGGTGATCAGGCAAAGAGAATGGCTTAGCCTGGTCCCAAAGGGAACTCTCAACTAGGAACGTGCTTGAGCTCTGTCCCAATTCCAGGCAAAGAGACTGGGCTTTCATTCCACTGTACCCGTCAGTTATTGGTACATGGCCACTCCAGGGGCTCAGGACCCCCCGGGACACCCCGCTCTCTCTATGTGGGGACAGAGCTGTCCAGCAGCCTTTAGAAACCGAAGCACAGAGAAGCCGGCACAGGAGTGCACAGAAATGGTAAAAGGGATGTGAGGGCCTGTGTGGCGCTGACTTCATGAGTCCCTCTTATATCGCTGGATGTTCTTGGGCGCCTTGTATTTCCAACAGTCACCATTTCTTCCAGTTTTTTGGCTCCTTTGAAATCTCATTCTACTCATGCTTCTTACTCTGGCTACCTCCGGTTCGCCACCGCCTCTTGATTAATAATGGAGAACATCGCCTCTTTCCTTGATTTCTGCAAAATAACAGTTATACAAGAAAGCTGTGTAGCCCCGGCAGTGTGGCTCAATGGTTGAGCGTGGACCTAGGAACCAAGAGGTCAGGGTTAGATTCCTGGTCAGGGTACATGTCCGGGTTGCCGGCTTAATCCCCACTAGGGGGCACGCAGGAGGCAGCTGATGGATGATGTTTCTCTCTCATTGATATGTCTGTTTCTCTCCTTTCTTTCTAAAAATCAATAAAAACATTTTAAAAAAAAGAAAGAAAGCTGCATAGCTGATTTTTACTAAAGCTTAGAGTTAACAGAGGGGTATGAGGCTGCTACAACACTGGACTTCCACAATGCACGTGACATAACTACTCGGAAAAGACCATTGCCTTCCGCTGTCATCAGGAATATCATCTGGCTGGCTTTCTCTGCATGACCCTGCCAGTCCCTGGGCTGGTCTGATCTGCCACTTTCCCCCTCAAATCTCTCCTGACACACTGGTCCATTCTTGCTCCCACTATCCCAGGAAGCCATTTCCCTTTATTAGGGAAAGGATTTTAGCTCTCGGTCTTTCGCTAGTCTCAGGGATTTATATCCAAAAACATATAAATATACTCAAATAAACAAAGGACCGTCCATTAGGTTTGAGCGCCACGCTGTGGAGATCTGGAGGAATCTCTGAAATATGAGTCTTTCTGTATTTCCTCACCCTCAAGTCTCTGTGGGGGGCAGTGTGGAGACATTCTCACAGGGATGTGAATTATGTCACTGCCCCCCCCCCCAATTGATATCACATAATTACAATGATAAAACTAATACGTGTATGTGCAAGGAATAATGCAACGAGGGTGGTAAAAAATAAAAATAAAATTCCTCTCTTTTTGTGCCTCAGTCCTACAGGTCCTGCTGATTAGCTTAGCCCCTCTGAAGAGGATACACACACTATATCATTTGACTTTTTATCTCTAAGCCATGTATTTTAATTTCTTGCTATAAAATTATCACTCTAGCTCCTGCCCTGCCCTCTCCCCACTCTCTCTCTCTCTATTGGTCAGTCTCATTTATTTATTTTTCTTTTATTGCTTACTTATTTTCATGGCTTTAAGTAATATATTTAAACCTCTACTATTTATGCAACTTTATTTTTGACAATTTACTATTTTATTAAAGCAATACATAAAATAATTTAAAAATAAAAGAATCCAAGAAGACTTACCATGAAAACTCTAGTGTTCCAACTCATTTAATCTTATCCTTTGGTTTTATCCTCCCTCCCCCCTCCCCCCCCCACCAAGAATCACTTTCAACTCCTCTGGCTCTTATGATATTTATATATTTCTAAGTAATATTCTCATTCTGCATATATTTATTATTGTTAAGCATTATGTATTTGTGGAGAGCAGCTACAGCGTTTGGACAGGTCCAAGCCTGGGACTAATGAGAGGGCAGAATCCTCTCGTGGCAAAGCCATGTGCGAGTCCCAGCACAATTATAGGCACAGCTTGACCTTATGGTCCGAACCTGTGGTCCCACGTGGCTGAGTGATATGGGCTGCGGGAGGCGCAGCAAGTAAACAAAGCTTGCTCAGGTGCATGTAATTGAGTAGATTCGAAACCCATGAAAACGTTGTAACCATGCCCTTATTTTGCCTCGTGGAAACTGGCTATAAAATAAAGACTTGGCTTGCAGGCCATGGCGCTGTCTCTCCATCAGAGAGGGCAGCGTCCCACCCAGACCCAGCTTTCTTCTCCTGTCTGTCTTTTCTCCATCCTTGACCGCCCCCTCTCAGGCTCACCGAACCTGGCTGAGCTGGGCGGCACAGTATTGACTTAGTGCTAGTAGGAGAGAATAGAGTTTAGGTCTGTGCCATCTTTCCTCACAGAGTACTTACATCCCACTCCTTGGTTAATATTCAGTGTTCACATTATTATGACTAAGAAAGTCAAGCCAAGGTAAGACAAGCAATGATCTATGCGTTTATTTACTTACAACTCTTTAATTTGTATGGCATTAATAGTTGATCTTGTCTTTTGGTTTAGTTTTCTAAGTTCCCGTTGCTGATTCCTGCTACATGCTCCCATAGATCTGTCACAGTCTAGTAATTTATATCCTCGTGCTCCGACCTATCAGATGCTGTTTCAATTCCATACACTCCCACCTAGTTCCTGGGAGATGCATTCCCAGACCCTTTCTATTCAGTGGTTCTGAAATGAGCTGCTTATTTATATTATTATTATTACTTTTAGAGAGGGGGGAGGGAGAGAAACATCAGTGTGAGAGGGAAACATTGATGTGAGAGAGAAACATGAATCAGTTGCCTCCCATAGGTGCCCCAACCAGAGATGGAACCACAAGCTAGGTATGTGCCCTGCCTGGAAATCGAACCTGCAACCTTTCCGAGTATGGCAAGGCACTCCAATCAACTAAGCCACCTGGTCAGGGCTAGCTGTTTCATATCTTACGTCTTTTCTTTGCTGTTCTCCTTATTTCTTTGATTCTAAGTCTTTGTTTTAATTTTCTAATTTTCGCTGGAACAGATCCTTCAGAAGATGCCTAAGACAGCGTGCCTGGGAAATACATTTTTGAGTCCTTCAATGTCTTAACACATCTGTTTTTCTTACCTTTACAGTTAATTGATGGATAGGTTGTATGTAGAAGTGTGGGTTCTCTCAGAATTTTGATGATATTTCTCCATTGCTGTGTGCCTTCCAGTGCTGCTATGGACTACTCCATGGTATTCCAATCCTTGATACAATGTTGTTCATCATTTTTTCTCTCTCAGTCTGAGATATTTTAGTACCTTCTCTTTATTAATGTGGCCTTGCTTTAGAATGCTTTTAATCAGGGGTCCTCAAACTACGGCCCGCGGGCCACATGTGGCCAGCCGAAAACATTTATCTGGCCCACCAGGTGTTTTTGCCGCCACTGTGTGCATAGGAATTTGTTCATAGTTCTTTTTTAAACTATAGTCCGGCCCTGCAACGATCTGAGGGACAGTGAACTGGCCCCCTGTTTAAAAGTTTGAGGACCCCTGCTTTTAATGCATTGACCCAGGTCCTTGCTGGGACTTTTAGATATGGAAACATGTTCTTTAGATCAGGGAAACTTTTTAGAATTTTTTGTTTTCATTTTATTTTTTTTCCCACCCCCTGGTACTCCTTTAGTAAAATATTGTTATAAATGTTATTTCTGTCCTACTTTTCGTATTTTGTTCTTAGTGTTCTATTTCTGGGAAATTTTCCTGACTTTGTATTTTAAGATTGTTATTGAAGTTTAAAATTTATTTATCTTTTTAAAAATTTTTTAATAGCTAGTTCTTATTCTGTATACATTACTTTTAAGTAATATCTTGTTCTTTTTTCATGAATACAATGCTATATTT